AGTGAAACAGCATGGCCAGTGGTGAGCATGGGTGACTGGGCAGCGGGGGAGTGCCTGAAAACAATGACTCCCTACATTCCTAGCCGCGACCGCTCAACCGGGCTAGAGGAAAAACACGCCTTTCGGCCAAAAAACCTTTCTATTTCATTAATTCCTGCCCCGCTACCAGTCGGACCCAAGAATAGAGACAGCAAGAAATTGTATGTAATAACCGGTGTATGGCGTCATCATAAGCCACACACGCTGGCATAGAATGTAAAGAAGAACAGCGGAAGACCCACATGAAAACCAGGGAGGGTGGGCGGGCAACTTCAACTACCACGAGGAAAAACAAAGACCACAATGGCAGGTTCAACGGAGTTGCATAGAACAAGAGCAAACTCACGAAAATATTTGTGAGTGAAAATACGTTTTTTGCACTCTTTCCCTACGCTCTGCCTTGAAAAAACAAAACTTTTCACTCACAAAGCAGCTGTTCAGTACATGGCGTAGTGGTCTACCAGAGCAATCACACTCACGATGTAAAGGATACTGAGGCCGATAGGAGAGCAGCACACATAGACTTGGACAAGGAAATGAGCAGTGTAGTGCCAGCGTGCCAAAGTCTGGGGCACTGTGACGACCATCTGTGGTCAAGTGTATAGTTATTGTTGAGTTTCAACTGGGGACTCCATCATCCCAGACACAACGCAACGGACAACGGGAACGAGTAGGGGGAGACATTTATTATTGACGATGAGACGGAGACAAAGACGAACTACAACAACTACATTATCAGAGAGAGAGAGAGAGAGAGTGAGAGAGAGACAGAGAGAGAGAGAGAGAGAGAGAGAGAGAGAGAGAGAGAGGCTGAGACAACAAGAGAATATGAAGGGCCTGGGTAGCTATGGCGGCAATATGGGCGCGCAAGTAGCTACCCAGGCCAACGGAACAAAAGGTGAGTACGGGGTTCATAATATGGCCCAATATCTGAGAAAATCGACCTTCGGGGCTGTTTTGGTGAAATTGATTTTTTTATTGCAAATTGATGTCTTGCCTTTGTAGAGTACTGTGACTTCGTTACACGGCCATCAGACCAATATTGACCATGTAGAAATGCATTCTACAGTCAGGAGTCATGTTAATGAATTGTTCTTTTTTTACAATTTTGAAAGACCAGTGTGTTTGGAGCCACCAAAAATTGTTTCCATGTGATATCAATAGCCAACTAATATAGTAAAGTGTTTTGACTGTTCAGGTACTTCATTTCCAGCATTCCGTGACTTTATTGAGGTTGTGTAGTTGCAACAGCAGCAATAGCAGCATTAGAAGGAGAGGTGATTGATCTGTTCTTCTGGTGATGGACATGCTTGACAGGATAGTCTGCAACAGATTTTGACGGAACACCATGATACATGTGACAGCATTCACATACTTATTGTGAAGGAGTCAAACAGAGCAAATGCGTCCAGATTCGCCTTGTTGCACTTTGTGGAGACTGACCATTTCCAAACATCAGTAAACCAGCCTGACAAGCGTTTCACACCACCAACTCAAAAGTAACAGAATGTTACTCGAGATTGCCCAGCCTCATGTGCTCCGTGATGGTCTGATTCGCCATTATTAGCTCGAGTATCGAGCCTGCCATCCCAAACATTTTAGGATCATCGTCGCAAAGAAAACTCGCATCATTTCGTGCTGTTTTAGCAGGTCTGGCGTGACACTCAGGAAACAGTTCTGCCACTCGCGCAAGGGCGCCCAGCGACCTTGCAAGCGGCGTACCCTCAGGAATCCACCTGGTTGTCCTTGCCTGGAGCTGTAGCAGCTATCGCTGAGGCAGACTGTGGTTGGCCTTGATCATACTCATCCAGGCCAAGTCCTCATCATCGTCGGCCCCGACAGGTAAGTACCGCGTGTCACTTGCGATCGATTCGCCTGACATGCGCTCTCAGAACTAGAAGCGCTGTCGCCGCTTGACAGGATATCCACAAAGAACGATGCATCACCGTCAATGGGATCGCGGCTGCTGTGCTCCGTGAGCCCAATAACCAACTGACACAAGAATCGCCTTCAATTTTCTTCCGCCATTGTCGTCTCTGCACTTTGCTTTGACGGAATCGATTTTTTTGCGAACAAATTTGTTTTTAGTGTTTTCTCAAAAAAACCGCGTAGCCCCGAAGGTCGAAAGTCTCAGATATCGGGCCATATATGGTTCCTGCAGACCAGCTAGGGAAAAGGTGGACTGTACGGGAGGAGGTACCTAACATTACTATGAACAAGTACTGCTTGTCAATTCAATGTGAGGTGCTGTACTTCCTTGATTTGGCTGGACGTCCGTTCAGTTCCTGCAAGAGAAGGAATGCTGTATCGAATGCACACGTCCGCACCCTTACACACACTTACTGCACATGCATCCTTACACACACTTACTGCACACACATGAATCCTTACATACACATACTGTACACACACATACTGTACACACCCACTCACTGTACACACCCACTCACTGTACACACCCACTCACTGTACACACACATACTGTACACACACGTACTGCACACACACACGTACTGCACACACACACGTACTGCACACTCACTCACTGCCCGCGCACATAAACTCATCCGTGTGCAACAACGGAAAAAAACACGGGTGAAAAGCAGGTATGGAGACATAAAAACACACATACCTCTATGTAACTGGCAGCTAGGGGGCAAGGTTTACGTATAAAACCTCACCCTATTGCGTATGTGGCATGGCCATTGCAACGCAACTACGCAGTCGTCTCGCCACAGCAGGTTCAACCACATCGAAGACTGGACTCATCTGTGCAGGAGTCTCATTCATCCAGTCTCTCTCTCTCTCTCTCTCTCTCTCTATCTCTCACTCTCTCTCTTTCTCTCTCTCTTTCTCTCTCTCCCCCGGTTTCAACATTTCTGTAATCATTCATAACCACATGATCGTTCAGCAAGTCATGCACCAGGATGTGTCATCACTGCCCTTTGGGCTTCTCTCTCATCATGGCATCAAGCCATACACAACCATGTGCCATCACTGACCATCGGGCTTCTCCCTCATCATGGCACCACGCCATACACAACCATGTGTCATCACTGCCCGTCGGGCTTCTCCCTCATCATGGCACCAAGCCATACACATCACCGCCCATCGGGCTTCTCCCTCCCCCTCATCATGGCACCAAGCCATACACAATTATGTGACATCACTGCCCATCGGGCTTCTCCCTCATCATGGCATCAAGCCATACACAATCTGGTATCCTCACTGCCCCTCGGGCTTCTCCGTGATTATGGCATCCAGCCATACGCAATCATGTGTCATCACTGCCCATCGGGCTTCGTACTCACTCTGTCATCACTCACATACACACTTTAAACGAGAGAGCTTGGAAGCTCAGGGCCCTACGCTATGCTTTTTGCCTTGATGACCTAGACAAAAAAAGCATAGGGATGTTATAAATTCTTTAAAAAATTCCTTTTTTTAAAACATAACCTGGGATTCGAACCCGCACTATCGCGTGCCCTGCATGCATCCCCCGATACACTTCGCATACATAATAATTCTTCCAAGTTGCTTCACACTGTGATCTTGCATTTGAAAGCCCTACTAGTATTTGAATATACATTGTGGCCAGCCGTCTTTGATGGCACGGTACGGTAGGAAATAGGTACGGGACAGGTACGATCGAGGGTAATACGACACCGTCTCCCGTACCATACCGTACCATCAAACACAGCTGGCCACATACAGCTGCCAGCAATAATCAAATGGGGCTTTCAAACGCAAGATCATAACGTGAAGCAACTTGGAAGAATGGGTATGAATGCGAAGTGTATGGGGGAATGCATGTAGGGCCATAGTGCGGGTTCGAATCCCAGCATATGCCTGAAAAAATAGGAGAATTGAAAATGTATAACGTCCCTATGCTTTTTTTGCCGTCAGATACGGATAGCGCCAGGCGTGACACAAACAAACACACAAACAAACACACAAATACCAAATTAAAGCTGTGTGGACCCTGGCTAGCGCCAGACGTTACTGAAGTAACGTCTTCTGCATAGCTACGGGAATACATAAGATGAGTTGTGGTGTTGTGTGACTGTGAGTGGAAACTAAAAACTGGGGCACTCGAAAACTTCAACTACCACGAGGAAAAAAAAGACCACGGTGGCAGGTTCAACGGAGTTGCGCAGAACATGAGCAATTGCACGAAAACATTTGTGTGAGTGAAAAATGCGTTTTTGCACTCTTTCGCTACGCTCAGCCGTGAAAAAACAAAACCTTCATTTTTTTGGCAGAAGGCTTCTCTTTGTGCTTGGCACAGGCCAAAAATCACAACTCAGAGAAGTAAAAAAAATCTCAACCTGCACATGCCCTCGATTGCTGGCCTTGCGTAATTTCAACGAAACAACACTGCAACTACCAAGGGACTGACCCGTTTCACCAATGAGGAAAGGACACACACCATTGTGCTGGAGGGCTGAGACATCAACATCAAAGCTGAGCAACAAATGTAGGCTCATGAGGGAGGCGCTTGCACCAGTACCCATAAGCGTGGTGACACAATGCCCAAACAACTCCACAACACGAAGAGATGGAAACACAGATCATAGAGACACGGAAGGACACAGAATGCTCGGCTTACTAACACTAACGGGAGGACTGACTCTTGCCGAGCAGAGCCAGCCTCAGCTAGTTTCCTTGCGATCGACATCCTCCTCATGTGCCAATCCGCCGCCATCGTTGTTCGGTGAAATTTGGTCAGGCACGCACCAGATGCTTGGTCTGCCCACGGTTGAAACAACAATGATACCAAATTTTCTCTTACACGTACAATGTTTGAATTTTGAATTCTTTATTCTCACGATGGCACCATCGCCAAAATGTTGGTACAACTACTGTTTGCTGACTCACTTTACACACCTTTCCTATAGTCACATGATTTACTAGAACAAGGGCAGATCAATAACGGTTGCTTACTTTTTTTGTGCGACTAGGTTGTACTACACCTCCTACAGCCAATGCCAATATTTCAGCAAATGGCAGCGTGAGTTGCAAAACCGGATTTGTACAAACATCTACTACTTCGGTAAAAGCAAGGTGTGATGACAGCAGAGCTGCAGGTGCAAGTGCTAATTGGACAGGCTTTGGACAATGCCAACGTAAGAAGAAGGGCTGGGGCTTTCTGCAGCTTCATCTCTGAAATATGGAATTCGGCTGGACAGACCCATTCCCATTGCGCTGCACATCCCAACCAGTTCCGTTTTCTCACAATGTTTCGGCATTTGGCCATCATCACTTGGCCACCATCACTTGGCCATCATCCGGTAATGTGAACAATTCATTGCTCATATTACCTGATGGTGGCCAAGTGCCGAAACGTGGTGAAATAACGGAACTGGTTTGGACGTGCAGAGCTATGGGAATGGGATTGTCCTGTCGAATTCCTTATTTGATGCGAAGGAATGCCATTAAATTTATAATGATTGTTTCCCTGTGCAGAACCCTTTTTTCTGTGTAGCATTTGGGTTTCTTCAGAATTACCAAACTCCATTGCAGCGTATTTCTTGCACTTGAAAATACCGCCATTCCGGCAACAGGCTCTCAGCTGCACCAAATAGATAACTTTGCCAATATGCCAATAGGCGAAATATTGGCAAAGTTATCTATTTAGTGCAGCTGAGAGCCTGTTGCCGGAATGACGGTATTTTCAAGTAGTATTTGGGTTTTTTAGAATAATGAATCTTTGGGGTGAAACGAACATCGAATTTTGAACACGAACGGACTCTCACATTAACGAACAAACTCGAACGAACATTCTCCATAATGTATTTCATGGATGTAACCAGGGAGTCGTATATACCCGCATCGCGCTGTTGTAGTACGTTATTTTGTGTACGTCGTGCGTACGTCATGTTGGTGCATGCGCGTGTTGCTGTAGTGTGAAAAGCAGTCTTCGTCTTGAGTTCGTCATGTCTAGTTGTGTTTCCGTAGTCGCCTTGTAACGAGAGAGCTTGCAAGCTCAGGGCCCTACGCTATGCTTTGTTGCTTAGCTCATCGTGCATGTTGTTAGAACTGATGGAAATATTTCCTGGGACCGGCGCTGACTCTGCCGATCACGGGCGTTCTGGAGTCGACGGGATGTCTGTCCTGACGTTTCGACCGGCGCTGACGCTGCCGATCACGGGCGTTCTGGAGTCGACGGGATGTCTGTCCTGACGTTTCCTGGGACCGGCGCTGACTCTGCCGATCACGGGTGTTTTGGAGTGGACGGGATCTCTCTTCCGACGTTTCCTGTGACCGGCGCTGAATCGCCCGTTCACGCATATTTTGGAGACGACGGGATCTCTCTTCCAAAGTATGTTTTTGCTGACGCATCCTATCACCTATTTGGCAACTAACGTCCATTTTAATTTCATTTCCTCCTCGTCTCCCTATTTCTTTCCAAATCTCCCTCTACATCAGGGAGTCGTATACGTGATACGACGAATAGTGTGGCCAGCTGTTTGTGGCCAGCTGTGTTTGATTGTACGGTACCTGACAGATACGGGAGCCAGAAAATATTGTGGCCAGCTGTTATATACAATCCTGTAGAGCCTTTTTAGTCACAGATACGGGACAGAGACGGGACAGATACGGAATAGCGTGACACAAACAAACAAACAAACAAATAAACACCAAACGAGTGAGCTTGGAAGCTCAGGGCCCTACGCTATGCTTTTTGCCTTGATGACCTAGACAAAAAAAGCATAGGGATATTATAAATTCTTATAAATTTCTCCTTAAAAAAAAGACATAATTAACCTGGGATTCGAACCCGCACTATCGCCCTGCATGCATCCCCAGATACACTTCGCATACATACTAATTCTTCCAAGTTGCTTCCCGTTATGATCTTGCATTTGAAAGCCCTATTTGAATATGCATTGTGGCCAGCCGTCTTTGATGGTACGGTACGTTACGGGATAGGTACGGGACAGGTACGGTCGAGGGTAATACGACACCGTCTACCGCCTTGATGATCTAGGCAAAAAAAAGCATAGGGATGTTATACATTTTTCAATTCCCCCATTTTTTCAGGCATAACCTGGGATTCGAACCCGCACTATCGCCCTACATGCATTTCCCCATACACTCCGCAGTCATACTCATTCTTCCAAGTTGCTTCACGTTACGATCTTGCGTTTGGAAGCCCTATTTGAATATTGCGGCCAGCTGTATATGTTGCCAGCTGTGTTTGTTGGTACGGTACGGTACGGTACGGGACTGATACGGGATAGTGCCAGGCATGACACAAACAAACAAACAAACACCAAATTAAAGCTGTGTGGACCCTGGCTAGCGCCAGACGTTACTGAAGTAACGTCTTCTGCATAGAAAAGCTGAAAAAAGAAGTATGCAATGTGAAGACAAGAAGCTGCACTGTGAGGATGGCGACGCTGAGCAGCGCTCCTTGAGATAGCGGACGACATGGCAGACGGTGTGAAGAGTTTCGTTGGTGAGAGGGTACGTGTGTTGTTGTGAACGTGAGGAGTATGTGAGTTTTGTATTTTCTGTTCTCCCAACATTTTGTTCTTTTTTATTTGCTTTCCTCGAGGGTAAAGAGGCGCCCGCACAGCTCGTGTGTTCTGTTCGTTTTTTTATTTGCTCTTCTATGAGGATAACTAGAGGCCCCCACAGAGCCAGTGGATTTTGTTCTTTTTGTTATTCCTATGATTGGTGCTCTCACATTTTAGAATTTTTGCGTGATAGTGAGGTGGTGTGTTGAGTGAAGTAGTTTAGAGTTCTTGAGGTTATCAGTTCCCACACGTGTGACAGCAAACGTGGCTGGTGCAGGGGCGTCACAGGGTTGCTGGGAGTGGTACGACCAGGGGTCAGGGGTGTCCCCCGGAGAAAAAAATAAGGATTTTTCGCCTAACAGGCCACGTTTGAGCACTCTACAGCCGCAAAGGAGGGTTCCCCTAGCACTTATTAGACAACCCCACTCCAGCTCCAAAAACATACTTCTCATGGATTTTTGGTATTTTCTGTGCATCGTAGGTAGCCAAGCAAGGTAAATGGAACCCATTCAATGATTCAGGGCCATTGCCGTCGAAAAAATCGCAAAATCCGAAGTACAAGCGTGCTGCGCGTTCTAGCGCCAGCGGCTATGCAAAACCGTATGTCGTGTCCTGCAAAAGTCTGCCGCGTTGCGTACACTATGTACACGTCCGGCCTGGACAGTCGCGATTTTAGTTGTTTTTAGAGTTAGAAGAAGATCCTTTGTTTTTGTTCGGTGGGATTGAAAGATCTGCCAGTGGACCGGAGAGCTACAACAATGGAAGCAGAAGAAAGCGCTTGCGGAATCTCCTCTGTCTTCGTGGCAACAGGACTTTAGTTTGCGAGAGACTTTCGTCCTGTTGTCGCGGACGAAATTCTTGTTGCTGCTACCAGAAAACTCGGGGAACGAAACGATCATAAATCGTTATAATATAGGTGAAGCGGGTCGTGTTGGTGAACAGCTGCAGAATATTCTGCCGCCGTGGAGCAGCAGTCCAAACACTTTTCAGCTTCGGAGAATAAAGCGCTTCCCTTTTCCGTTGACAAGCGCTGCGTTCGCGGGTGTAATGCATTTTCGAATCCGCTTGCAGTAGATCGTCAGGAGCCAGAGGTACTAGGTAGGTGTCGTTGTGGAAAGAATATAATAATATGTTGTAACTGACAAGTGACATACATGTAGTGTCCCTTGACGTACTGATCGCCATTGTAACATGGTAGATCTTGGAAAATTTTAGTTCTGGACCCAGTGATCGCCGCCAGCTCAGCTCTGTTTCCGTCAAGGTTGCAGTGAATGCGTCCGTGAGGAATCCATCGTCTGGTTGTCTCTAACCGTGACTCCAACCGCCTATCGTAATGGATAGCCGCCTGGAGTCTTGGGCAATAGCTAGCTGCTAGTGCTAGGCATCAAGTCTGTATGCTTCTTGCAATGAAAGTAACAGTTGCGATGTTTTGTACAAGTCCGAAGATCCTTGAATTTTTTTATTGCTTTTTCGGATGAATTGGGTGGACCATCCTGGACAAAAAGTGGTACGACCATGGTCGTAGTGGTCGTACCGTGTGTGACACCCCTGTGGTGTTCTGGGTGGGCGGGAAGAGTTTTTTAATAATCCGAAGTGCAGGCAGAGGTATTTTATTTCTGGGTGTGATTGGTGTGGTATGATTGAGTGATTTGTGTGATCTTTTCCTCATTTCACTCTGTTTTATTATCAGAATCGAGGACGATTCTACTCTTGGAAGGGAGTTATGTCGTAGTACATTATTTTGTGTACGTCGTGTGTACGTCGCGTGTTGCTGTGGTGTGAAATGCAGTCTAGATTTCAGGGTCACAGCTTGCACAATGGCTTTGTACTTTTGGAATGGCCAATCGACGTACTCAGCACAAATTTTCTATTGCATGCATGCACAATACATGTTCAAATTTCGTATTTTTGGTGCATGTCAAAAGTCAAAATGGTCACAAACTTTCTTCTTTCCCGGGCTCTTCTTGACGGTTGTTGTGGTTATTGTTGCTGCTGCTGCTCCTGCTGCTGCTGTTGGTTTTGTTATTGTTGCTGTTGTGCAGCCGTATGCTCATTGCCACAAATTGACAATAGTCAAAGTGTGAATGGAAGCGGTCATAGTCGTGATGAAAAATACACATCGTACCTTGTTACCTGCAAGGCGGGATTCTATCTTTCCAACTTGAATTATCCAATGAATTGCACATTCGCTGGAGGAGCCTTCACAGCAGTACCTACATGTGAAGGTATGTTTTGCAGTCCCGGGGAGCTTTAGCAGAGTTAATTTTTTAACATGGTTGTCTTCTCGGGTTGAGAACGAGCTGCCTCTCCTATGTTCTCGCCACGCCACACATCAGACGGACTAGTCAAACGGTTGTTCTCTAGTTTAGAGAGAGTGCTTTTCTTGTATTACACTTCAAGAGGCGACTGGAGAACTCATAGTCATAACTAATGTCGTCTCGGAAGGTTGACAACGAACTGCCTCTTCTATCCTCGCCACCCCACACCTCAAAACGAACTAGTCCAATGGTTTTTCTCTAGAGTTAGAGAGAGAGCTTTTCATAGTTTACTTCAAGCGGCGCTGGAAGAACTCATGATGGAGAACTAACACTGACAACGACTGACTGACGACTGTCAACGAATGACTCACGACTGACAACGAATGTCTAACAACTGACAACGAACGTCGGACAACTGACGACTGACATGGCAAAAGGAAAACATGATATCAGAAATTGGTGCCCTCGTCAGCACAAAAGGTGGTGTACTCAGCACAAAAAGGTGCACGTGTCAGCAACAAAGCAGCGCAGCAGCAGGTACGGGTCAGCAACAAAGGAGAGCAGCAGCATGTACGGGTCAGCAGCACAGAGACACAAATACAGCAGCAGCTACGATGAAGAGACAACACGTGCAACCACATGTACACACAGAGACACAAATACAGCAGCAGCTACGACGAAGAGATAACACGTGCAACCACATGTACACACAGAGACACAAATACAGCAGCAGCTACGACGAAGAGATAACACGTGCAGGCACAGGTACAACACTAACACTGACAACGAACTACTAACGACTGACACTCAGAAAAGACGAGACAACAGAATTATAATAGTGAAGGCGTACAACGGGGACAAGACGAGCAAGTGTGTACACAACGGGGACAGAAGACGGTGCAGCCGCATGTACGCAGGAGGGCTCTTCTGATTACTCTCACATATTGCGTGACAAACAGAGGACTCAGACTGATTATTTAGGTTTCACTCCAAAGAGAGTCTGAAGAAGAAGGCTAGGAACAACAGCAAGAATGCGTACAAATGCACGCATGCGCAACCTGCGCAGTCCGTGCAGGCACGGACAACAAAAGAAATCATGGATTTAAAGAAAGTACAAAATGTTATGAGTTATGACTTATGACTAACAGTCCACCAACGTAACCAGATCATATACAGTCAGCAAGTATGACAAATAAGCACAAACTGACAAAGAGTACTGAGACATTCGACGACCTGACCCCTAGCTCCAACACTTCTGTGAAGTGTTGGGTATCACTGGCCGATTATCTATGTCCGTCCATAACACACAACAAGAGCTACGGTTGTTGTAGCTTGACTCTGGTCAATGTCTACGAGTAAGATCATTTCAAGTAATGAAGTCGATGATAAGAATAAATTCGGCAGCTCTTTCACCAACGGGAAAGAGCTCTTTGTTTCGGGGAAGAACAGCAGCAACACCATTACGAGCACACTGTAACCAAATATGAATACTACAGAAAAAAGGTGAGTACGGTGCTGGCCCAATTCGGCACTAGCACCCCGAAGAGAAAATTCAGCGTACAACAGTACAGTACACATAGCAGATTTAGGCGCACGATGCGCAAATAAGGAGTGGATTAGATTATTCTCGCGATTCGCGACACGATGCACAAACTAACGGCCTTCCAACTTGGAAGGCTCAGGGTAGGCAAGGTCCAAGAGGGGAAGGAAAGCATAACGAAGAAGAGCACGAGCTAAGTCCAACGGCAACAAAGAATGCCGAAAGTAACTGAAAGACGACGAAACTAAGTTAGTAAGGCAATTGGACATACAGTCGTCATTAGCTATACCGCGAAACATACATTGTGTGGAACTACTTGTTATTGTACTTAAGAGTCAATGTTTGTAACGACTAAATATCACTGGACATGGCCAAGTTTCCGATTTCGTTCAAAGTTAGCTCCTATTATCACTAGGTGGACCTCATTCGCCCACCATGGCAGTTTGGTCCAGAAACCCTCTGTTCTTTAGATATTAACCAAAATCAAAATATAGATAAAAAACGATCTCAATCACCTTCAAACAAGTGTTGAGTAAGAAAAAGACAACTGACGACATCTTCTCCAGACATTACAACGGACAACGGGAACAAGCTATTCGGAACTACATGTATTATAGATGACGAGACAAGAGACCAAAACGAACGAAACCACTACATTGAAGAGTGAGAAAGGGAGAAAGTGATCAAGTCTGAGCGGCAAGATAAAGGGCCTGGGTAGCTATGGCAATTATGGGCGCGCAAGTAGCTACCCATGCCAACGGAAAAAAAGGAGACAAAAGGTGAGTACGCGCTTTTCATGCAGGCCAGCTAGAAAAGGAACGGGAGGAGGTACCTAACACGAGGTACAAGAAAGAGGGGTCACTGCTGCTCACACCAACACAGCGCAGTCAAAGCAGCTATGTTCGCACACCGATCCAGGTTACCAAAGTAATATTTAACCATCCAACTTTCTACTGATGACTTGCTGAGTCCCTGGAACGAATCGATCAATTCAGCCTGTCTGTCGTCTGCCCGAAGGACGAACTATCTCTCCGCTTTTGTCCTGCCACACAAACAAAGGGTCTTGGAAAGTAGTTGTTCTCGATACCGAGAGAGAAAGCTATTCATTACCACACTTCTGCAGCCGAGGGGAGAACTGACAACTGACAACTAACAAAGGAACATATTAGGAAATTGGCGCCCTCATCAGCACAAAAGTGGTGTACTCATCAGCAAAAAGGTGCACGTGTCAGCAATACAATAAAGCAGCGAAGCACTATGCACCATGGGTCAGCAGCATATACTTTACAGAGACACAAACGCAGCAGCAGGTACGACAAAGAGACAAACGTACAACCGCATGTACAACGAAGAGCTACAATCACAACCATATGTACAACATTACCCCCCACCCAAAAAAGACATCCATTCCTGTGGATGGAAGCAAGAGTGAAGTGATAAAAAAACCCGAAGAAGACAGACCGGAGAAGAAGACCGAAAGCCAGGGGAAATAAAATGTGAAGTAACATAAACATAAACAGGCGACAATAAAACACAAAAAAAGTGGGGCCACAACTGTTGAACGCATGACGAGTAGGCCAGGAGGGTTAACACCAGTCGGAAGCCCTGCAAAACTGTGCACCAATCAATCGGAACCTGCAAGCAACAGATTTTGCAGAGGACCCCGGCTGGCGAGCTGGTCGACCTGTGTTTGTCCCTTTGGATCTTGATTCTTAGAACAGCACCAACCTAGTACGCCACCCACCCAACAGTCAAGATAAACAAAAGTACAAAATGCATGAAAAAACAGGTTATGCCGACGGACCCAGCGACGCTGCCAGGAGCGGCGAGACCGACGGCCCGTACCGACCGAGAAGACCGGGGCAGCAGGACCGAGTATCCAGGCATCTTGCAGCACAGGACGTACACCGGACAGTTGACCGAAAACCGATGGCACTATGGAAACTCAGAGAAACACAAGGACACACACAGAAAGAAACACGGACTGACGCAAACATCTCAGCCATCGCCAAAAATCAGAAAAGCACACGAAGGAAGGGAAGAACAGCCAGGAAGAACACGTCGACTGAAACAGGGGCAATTAATCAGTGAGGACACCAGTGAGGACACACAAACAAATGCAGTATGCTGAGCGCATCATCAATGTGGACCGTGGGACATTTACTCCACTAGTTTTCACCACGGCCGGTTGTTGTGCGCCAGAGTGCTCCAGATTTGTTAAGCGCCTGTGTGGCCTCATTTCGAGTGGGGACACGAAGTTGTATGCCCAGACAATGACATATGTCCGGTGTCGACTGGCGTTTGCATTGTTGCGGTCGGCGATCATGTGCATCCGCGGTGCTCGATCGTCATATCACCGTCCTGTGAATGCATTGCGAGAGTTGGCAATCTCGGAGGGCCGGCTGTGAGGTTTTGGAGACGATGGTGGGCAGGACAGTGCCCTTGTATTTTCCTGGTTTTTGTTTTTTGTTTGTTTTTTGTTTGTTTTTGGTGTTTTGGTGTTTTTTGTTTCTCGTTTTTGCGTTTTTTCACACATACAATTGTTTTCATTTTTTGGTGTTGTGTTCTAATCATTCGCCATGCCACTGTCAATTGTATTCTGTTTGCCCGTAAAAGAGGCCTTAGGTATTAACACACAAACAAATCGGTTACCAATACGCAAAAAATAATGAAGAAAAACCCCGGGGCGCTACCCTGAATAACCACAGGTCTCTAACCTGAAAAAACCCACAGGGATTGAACCTGAAAACCCACAGGGATCGAACCTGAATAACACGGAACTCATAGTACATCTGTTCGCAAAACCGAAAACCGAGATAACCTGTCAGGCACCAATAGGGACGCACAATGGCCAACCAGGAACACACGGAAACCATAACACCCACAAGGCAAACCGATACAAAGAAGCGCCGGATCCCTGCAGACCACCAGGAAGACCGTGGCTCACCATGATCAGATGCCCACCCAGGCGAACTTGAGAAACCCGCATGCCGAAACACAATTATTACAAAACCATAAGCTCACAAAAAAATTCAACCTGGATCAAGAACGAGAATCCTGCATTAAGGTCACACCTCCCACCAAACCGGAAGCCACCAGCTTTCCTACTGGGTGCAAAATGCATGACCGAGCCTGACAACGCTCTACACGGAACATGGAGAAGCTAAAACGTAGAAACACGAAACAAGAAAATACGGAAAGACTACGTACGAGGCAGCACATCGAGAACATTCAGGGGGACATCTAAACAAATCAAGCGACACAGTCTCAAGATCGGAGCAGTCCGCCGGCAACTCCGTGACAAGCACAAGGGCACAACACAAGATGAGAGCAAAGCTACCCATGCTGAAGTCACGACAAGCATGCAAACACAAGTTCCAGATTCGAATGAGTAGCACACGAACAGAAGTTTGAAATTTGCATACACACAACAGTACAGTACAGGGTAGTCAGAGTGACACAGGAACAACTAACACAATGGGGCAAACTTACGAGCAGGAAGACTACACTACACACTCCAGCACAAGAGAACAAGGTTCCATGGAATTCCTGCCGGGACCCGAGTCACCCGACGAAAAGCAATTTGAAAAATTCAAAATCGAATACAAGTTACGGCAGCACATTACTCAGAGCAGACAATTACAAAGGCATGCTCACCTGAGTAGGCGCTCTCATGAGAGGCTTGGACGTTCGTGAGACATTGTTGGAGTGGCAACAAGGAGAGAAACATAAGCCGGAGAGCGACAAGCTCAGGGTAGTGAGGTGAGGACGAGGTAATAGTTGGGCGCGAAATGTCGTCTGCCCGAAGGACGAACTACCTCTCCGCTTTCGTTCCGCCACACAAACAGAGTCTAGGGTAGTAGTTGTTCTCGATACCGAGAGAGAAAGCTGTTCATTACCACACTTCAGGAGCCGACGGAAGAACTGACAACTAACAACATATTAGGAAATTGGTGCCCTCATCAGCACAAAAGTGGTGTATTCATCATCAAAATGGTGCACGTGTCAGCATTACAATAAAGCAGCGCAGCAGCATGCACCACGGGTCAGCAGCATGTACGACACAGAGACACAAACGCAGCAGCATGTACGACAAAGAGACACAAGCGCAGCAGCATGTACGACAAAGAGCTTCAAGTGCAACTACATGTACAACGAAGAGCTACAAGCGCAACCACATATACAACATGTCCAATGGTGGCCTTTACGAAGGCCATCTTCAAGGGCCAGTCGCAGCGGGGTTACGTCCTGAATTGGGAGTCGACCACCAACATAGTCTGCAACAACATGTCCCCAAGTGGTAACAAGCGGTCTTGAATAAAGTTATCGACTAAAGATCACTTGGGGAAATATTCAAATTTCGAACTCTCCAACAGCCATGCACTCGCCGAATCCCACCTCGTGGCAAGAAAGCACATACGGAGCGCCTCCACATACCTTTTTGCTACGCTGCCAGCACTGAGATGCCATGGGGATAATCGTTGCACATGCAGAAACTCGAATGAAGCCACCACGAAGCAGCACTTGCGGAACAACAGTCCAACGTGACGAGAACGAAGAACTGTTCCACAACAACAAATCAGCAAGGACCTCAACAGTAGCGCAAGATGGACCAACATTTTCTCTTGTACTGGGCAGCTAGTGCACGCGAGTTTCACGTGTGCATCGATGCCTCGTCGTGCAAGTAGAAAATCACGATGCAGCAGTTGTGTTGTCCCTGCCCTTTTGGAGGGTATGTGCCCCTTTTGGCACGTGTGTGCTGGGTACGCGTGGTCGGTGTGCGGACTGCGCAGGTTGCGCATGCCTGCATATCATTGTACGCATTCTTGTTGTTTTTGGCCTTCTTCTTGAGACTCGAGGTGGACACTCGAGTATTTCAGGTATGCATTACTGTTGGAAAATCAAGATTCGAAAAAGTTCTCTTCCTGTGCACAGCCGCCGCCCTCCAGTACCTTAAAAATACATGATATAACCGCCCATGTACCGGTAATGCGTGCGCTCATAGCAACCTGAGAGAAATTTTGCATTTTTTGATGGGAGTGTAGCACACAGGTGAAACTCGAGTGCACTATCTGCCCTTGCACAAGGAAACGTTTTGGCCCAAAGAGGGCAATCTTGCACTACTGTTGCAGTCCTTTGCTAATTTGTTGTTTTGCTGCTCCGTGGCGGATTCATTCGAGTTTCTGCGATGCCAGGTATTATCCCCATATCTCAGTGGTGGGAGCGTAGCAAAATGGCATATGGACCAGTGACCCCTCACTCTTGTACCTTGTTTCAGTGCATATTATAGTAGTTTTTTTAGCGGATAAGCCCATTGTCAAGTCTAACACCCGACAACATGTGCGTGTGTGTATGTGGGTAGGGACTATGTGTGTGTGCGTGTGTTTGTTTGTTTGTGTGTGTGTGTGTGTGTGTGTGTGTGTGCGTGTGTTTGTTTGTTTGTGTGTGTGTGTGTGTGTGTGTGTGTGTTTCTGCTGAAACTAAGTGATGAGTTGACGCTAGTATAGCGTTTCTCTGTCTCTTATCTTTTATCCGGGTTTTTTAATGATACAATGCAGCTTGCAACCATACCAATCTCTATGGCGTCGAAAAAGTTGAGTCCAATGGAACTGTCACCTGTAGATACGATACATTCAAAGCAACTACCTCAGGCCCCGCAATGTGTAATGCATCTGGAGACGGTTTTTGGACATGGACCGAAACCTGCGCAAGTAAGTCAGATGTGAAATGTTTGAATGGATACATATTTTTATAGTGGACTATGCTGGGTTTAAGAGTGATATTTATGTGTTTGCCCACTCTCTCTCTCTCTCAAACCCTGGGAATTTTTGATAGTTGTGTATAGTGTCTTGGCAGCGATTGACAAAGATCAAACTACCTTCTGTGTTCTTTCCCATACTGCATCGTGCCAGTGTGGAATAGACTGCCACAGGCAGTTCTGGACAAGCAGCCAGCCCGGAAACACCAACAGAGCTTCAAGATTGCTGCACACCGTCACCTGCAACAGAATGACTGGTGCTCTGCTCATGATTGGTGCTAGCCATGCACATGGATCACACTGGCCTGCCATCAGTGGACGCAAATCATTATTTTCCTATCCTGTATCATGTTATCCTTTCACCCATTCACGGCATAGTCCTTCCCCTGCCTGTCGCCATGTATAGACGGTACGTGACCTCTCACTACCCCCGTGCTATGCACGATACCATGCTCTGCTGGGCATGGCCTCCCTGACTCTTCACTATATCTACACTCATCTGTCTGTAAAATAAACCACTTCCTTATGTCAGTACATGACACAACATGGTGTCAGAAGTTAGTCAACCAGGTCTACACTTCGAGTAGAAATGGCCAAGTTCGCGCCGCCTGCAGACTTTGATTTCTCCATTCCAGATGCCTGGCCGGCTTGGAAACGCCGGTTTGCGAGATATCGCCTCGCCTCAGAGCTCAACGCGAAAGACGAGAAAGTGCAAATCTCTACGTTGCTCTACTCGCTGGGCCCTGAGGCCGAAACTGTCTTCGATCAACTGGTATTCGACACCGTTGGAGACGAGGACAAGTATGACAAGGTCATGACGAAGCTGGACGCTTATTTTACGCCAGCATTGAACGTGTTTCACCAGAGGACCATCTTCGAACAGTGCGTCCATCTTCCAGGAGAGTCCGTGGAAGAATTTGTTCGGAAACTTCACGCAGCAGCGAAGTTCTGTGACTTTGGTGACCAGAAGGACAACAGAATTCGAGATCGCCTCGTGGCTCACATTCTGGATCGTCAAGTCGCCAAGGAGCTGCAGCTGATTGAGCCCGCAAAACTCACCCTCACGGACGCAGTTCTCAGGGCCAGGCAGGCCGAGAAAATTTCCGGAGACGTTGCAGCGCAAGCCGCCAGGCCGCAGGTCAATGCTGCATCCCGCTTTGGAGGAAAGCAGCAAGATGCAAGGAGTCGCCACCAGCGCAGCGGCGTTCCGTCGAAGCCTGCCCCAACGTCGTCCACGCAGAGGAAGAGCGGCACTGCAGCTTCAACATGTCCGTGGTGTGGCCACGCTGGTTCGCACAAGAGTAACCGTTCTGCGTGTCCTGCGTTTGGTCGCAAGTGTAATTCATGCGGCAAGCAGGGCCACTTCGCCGCCGTCTGTCTTTCCACTCCAGCAACCACGCGTGGTGCCAGAGCTGTCGAAGGTGAATCGCTCGCGTCCCCGTCGCCATTCATGGGTGGTGTTGCAGAGCTGTCATCCAACGCCAGTCCTTCCCAGTCCACCGACGCCTGGTCAGTAAGTCTGCCTGTTTGCTCGACAAATTTGATATTCAAGATCGACACAGGTGCAGATGTATCATGTATCACGCACTCCACGTATCAGAATCTCGTACAACGCCCTGTACTCACACCATCCACTACCAAACTCCTTGGTCCATCTGGTGCACCTCTATCCATCAAGGGTCAGTTCACTGCAGACACCATGCACAAGAGTGAACTGTTCTCTATGGAGATCGTAGTTATCGATGGTCCTGGATCTACCAACCTGTTGAGTCGCAGAGACTGCCTCCGACTTCGCCTGATCCAGCGTTTAGATGCAGCAGAATCGTGTACCAGCAAGCCAGCACAGCCCATCGGTTGTATGGTTGGGCCCCCAGCTGATATCAAGCTCGTGGACGACGCCACGCCGTACCACTGTGGTGTTGCCCGCCGTGTGCCTCTGCCTCTACAGGACAAGGTCACAGAAGAGCTCGCACGTATGGAGGAAATGGGCATCATCGTCCGGGAAACGGGTCCCTCTGACTGGTGCTCTCCTATGGTGCCGGTTCGTAAACCTAATGGTCGCGTACGGATCTGCGTAGACCTAAAGAAGCTGAACGGCAACGTGAAGCGCGAGCACTTCCCTCTTCCGACAGTCGAGGACACACTGGCTAGGCTCGCCGGATCTACTGTCTTTTCCACGCTGGATGCCAACAGCGGCTTCTGGCAAGTGCCTCTCACGGAGTCTGCATCCAAGCTGACCACGTTCATCACGCCTGTGGGTCGGTTCCGATTCCTCCGGATGCCATTCGGTATAACCTCTGCACCGGAAATCTTCCAGCGACGCCTGCAGGACTTCCTCTCCCACGTCAAAGGTTCCGAGGTATTCATGGACGATGTTCTGGTCCACGCCGCTAACGAAGCTGAACACGACCACCGGCTGGACACAACGCGCCAGGTCCTTGCCGATGCAGGCATCACTCTAAACCCCGACAAATGCCACCTCAAGCAGTCATCAGTCAAGTACCTGGGACACATCGTCAGCGGGTCCGGTGTGAAACCCGACCCCAGCAAAGTCTCCGCCATTGACGACCTCAAGGAGCCTACGAATGTTCCTGAGCTTCGCCGTGCCTTAGGTCTCTTCACCTACGTCGCCAGATTCATCCCGGAATTGGCTACGATCTCAGCGCCCCTCCGTCAGCTCCTGCACACCGACACTGATTGGTTCTGGGACTCCCCGCAGCAGGACGCGTTCCGTCGGCTGAAAGAGCTCGTCGTTTCAGCCCCGTGCTTAGTGCACTATGACCCCAAGCGTCCCATCATGGTCAGTGCCGATGCCAGCAGCTATGGCATTGGTGGTGTTCTGCTCCAGAAGCACGATGGCGACTGGCGCCCAGTAGCCTACGCCTCCCGTTCCCTGACCAAGACGGAACAAGGCTACGCGCAGATCGAAAAGGAATGCCTCGCAGCGGTGTGGACGTGCGAGAGGTTAGACCAGTACCTCTTCGGCGCTCCCAGGTTCATCGTGCAGACGGACCACAAGCCGCTAGTGCCACTGATCAACACCAGAGACCTGGACAAGGTTCCCATCCGATGCCAACGAATGCTGCTCCGCTTCCTCCGGTACGAAGTCCATGCCATACACGTTCCCGGCAAGGATCTGGTGGTGGCTGACACGCTTTCACGAGCGCCAGCATCGGCATCAGTTGACAACGTTCTGCAAGACGACATCGGCATGGTTTTATCAACCACTGCCGAAGATCTCACAAGTCCATCCGTTCTCGCCGACCTAGCCAAGGCTACGTCTGAAGATCCCGTGTTATCCAGTGTGATGCGCTACGTCATCCATGGCTGGCCTGCTACCGTCCCTGACGACATCAAGCCGTTCCATCGTGAGCGAGGCCAGTTGTCTCACATGCAAGGTGTATTGTGCCACAGCTTTCGCCTGGTTGTTCCGTCCGTGCTACAGCCTGAGATCCTCCAGAAGCTGCACGATGGTCACCAAGGTGTCACGAAGAGTAAAGCCCGTGCCCGCTTCTCGTCATGGTGGCCAGGTATCTCTGCCGACATCGAGGCGTACGTCGCCAAGTGCACTACCTGTATCAAGCAGCGTCATCAGTCTCCAGAGCCTCTTCAGACAACTCCGTTCCCCGAGCGTCCGTGGCAGCGTATCGCATCGGATCTCTGTGATGTCGACGGCCGCCAGTACCTGATTACTGTCGACTATTTCTCCCGTTACATTGATGTCGCTTGTCTCTCATCGACTACGTCACGGGCCGTCATTACTCATCTGAAGAGCATATTTGCTGCCCACGGCTATCCGGACATCTTCGTCAGCGATAACGGGCCACAGTTCGCTTCCGACGCCTTTGCACAGTTTATGTCGTCGTGCAACATCACGCATCGGACCAGCAGCCCGAAGCATCCTCAAAGCAACGGCGAAGCAGAACGCGCCGTGCAGACTGCCAAACGACTCATCCGTGCGCCAGGTGATCTACAGCAGTCCCTCCTAGCGTATCGCTCCACACCCCTGGCCAACGGCTATTCGCCCGCCGAACTATTGTACGGCCGCAGGCTCCGCACCAATCTTCCGTGCCCACCTGATCTCCTGCAACCCTCCTGGCCAGACATCACCGCTCTCCGGGCCAAGGAGCAGGAGGCTAAGCATCGGCAAGAAGATCACTTCGATCAACGCTTCGCAGCAAAGTCGCTCTCCCCTCTGCCACTGGGAGCGAAAGTGTGGGTCGACGACAAGCGCGAGGGTACAGTGGTTGAGCAACTCACCGATCGCTCCTACAACATCGCCACCTCATCCGGTCTTCTGCGCCGAAACCGCCGTGCAGTGAAGTTGCTCCAGCCAGTGACTCCTCCCGGACCGGTGCCAGCAGTACCACCGGCCGCGCTAGTCCCGCAACAACAGCCTGTGCCTACGTCACAGCCAACTCTCCGTGCTCGCAACAACATCCAGCCAGCGCAGAGATTGATCGCTACCATATAACTCTCTCTGGCTTCATGCTATTGCTATTGCTCTCCCGCACATTGCATATTTCTGTTCTTTGTGCCCGGCTATGTACAACCCGTACATGTATCTGTCTTGCCTTTTCTCCATAACAGTTTTTTTTCCCAGCTGTTGTGTTTTTGCTCTCTTTAATTTTTTTTCAAAAAGGGGGAGATGTCCTATCCTGTATCATGTTATCCTTTCACCCATTCACGGCATAGTCCTTCCCCTGCCTGTCGCCATGTATAGACGGTACGTGACCTCTCACTACCCCCGTGCTATGCACGATACCATGCTCTGCTGGGCATGGCCTCCCTGACTCTTCACTATATCTACACTCATCTGTCTGTAAAATAAACCACTTCCTTATGTCAGTACATGACACAACAATTATGTTGACCCTCTTCTAAATGTAGCATTATAGTCAAAGCGACAATATGCTGCAGAACTCTTTCTCTCTGTATACTTATATCTCTCCA